CAATTAAGTAATGATAGCAAAATATAGATTTTTTTAAAACAAAAAAAAATCAATTAATCCTTATTTGGATGTAGAGGGGAAAAATTTAAGGTGTCTTGTTCATTGGAATTTGATTAATTTTACATTGCATTTATAAATTTATTTGGGGAAAAGGACAAAATAAAACCATTTGGATCTAAAACCAAATAATAGTTATTTGATCTAAAACTAAGATAATAGCTATTTAAATATGCTTTTTTTTTTTCAGTCGGAGTCTTACTCTATAATCCAGGCTGAAGTGCAGTGACATGATCATGACTCACTGCACCTCGACCTCCTGGCTCAGGTGATCCTCCTGCCTCAACCTTCCAGCAGCTAAGACTACAGATGTGTGCCCCTACATTCTGCTAACTTTTTTACTTTTTGTAGAGATGACGTCTCACTATGTTGTCTGGGCTAGTCTTGAACTTCTAGGCTCAAGCAATCCTCCTACCTCAGCCTCCCAAAGTGCTGGAATTGCAGGTGTGAGCCACTGCACCTGGCTCTTGTGCAGTTTTTAAATGATTATTATTGGTTCTCTTAGATGTCTTACCTACAGAATAGTTAGGAGGTGAGAAGATAAATATTTAATGAGTGCTTAAGGTGGAAGTCATTGTTCTGTGGGCTTACATACATTTCTCTCATGCTAGTAAAGAAGCAGTTTTTATTAGAATTATTAATGTATTTTTCAGATGGGGAAGACAGAGGCTCAGCACAGGTAAGTACTTTAGCAAGGTCACAGAGTGTTGGGAGGAGCCTATGCCTGTCTGATGGTAAAACACCTTTTCAATTTTAGGGTTTGAAATACAGATATAGCCGGGCTCGGCGGCTCAGCCTGTAATCCCGCGTCTTTGGGAAACTGAGGTGAGTGGATTGCCTGAGCCTGCGGGTTCGAGGACCTGCCTGGGCAGCGAGACCTCATCTCTACAATAAATCAAAAAATCAGCCGGGTGTGGTAGCGCATGCCTGCAATTCCGGCTACTTGGAAGGCTGAGGCGGAAGGATCGCCGGAGACCAGCAGGTTGAGGCTGCGGTGGCCGGGAGCGGCCACTGCACTCCAGTCCAGGCGACCAAGTGAGACTCCAACTCAAAAAAAAAAAAAAATACAGATACAAACACAATGTTGCCCAGGCTGGTCTTGAACTCCTGGCCTCAAGCAATCCTCCGCCTTGGTCTCCCAAGGTGCTGGGATTACAGGTGTGCACCACCACACTCAGCCTGTATCCAATACTTAGAAATGTTGACTACAATATTTTTGAGGTGATTGGCATGGCATTTATTATAATTAAACTAGGTGAGTCAACTACATTGTGGGATTTGAGAATATAAGTAAAGGCCGGGCACGGTGGCTCATGCCTGTAATCCCAGCACTTTGGGAGGCATAGGCAAGAGGATTACCTGAGCCCAGGGGTTCGAGACCGGCCTGGGCAACTTGACAAGATCTCCTCTCCACAATAAATCAAAAAAATTAGCCAGGTGTGGTGGTGCATGCCTGTGGTTCCAGCCACTTAGAAGACTGAGGTGGAAGTATCACCTGAACCCAGCAGGTTGAGGCTGTGGCGGCCATGCGTGTGCCACTGCACTCCAGCCTGGGTGACAGAATGAGATTCTGACTCAAAATACAAACAAAAAAATAAATAAATAAGAGGAATGAATGTGAAAAACTCTATGACATCTTCAGATCAATCCCTCTAGCCTCCGTCTTGTTTTATTTAATCTGTAGCTCTTTCACTTATCAGTAGAAAATTATTTCATTACTCGCTCATTATTGACCTCACCTCACTGGAACATACATTCAATAAAATCAAGAATCTTGTTTTTTTGTTCAGTGCTGTACTTCCAATGTCTGAAGTGTGGCTTTCATATAAACATTTGTTACACAAATGCATACATGATTAGTGCTCCTTGGACTTTATTTTATTTTTTTGAGTTGGAGTCTCACTCTGAACCCAGGCTGGAGTGCAGTGGCACGCTCACGGTCACTGCAGCCTCGACCTGCTGGGTTCAGGAAATCCTTCTACTTCAGCCTTCCAAGTAGCTGGAACTACCAGCATGCGCCACCGTGCCCAACTAATTTTTTAATTTATTGTTCTTGCCAAGTTGCCTGGGCTGGTCTAGAAATTGTGGGCTGAGTCAATCTTCTTGCCTCGTCCTCCCAAAGTTCTGGGATTACAGGTGTGAGCCACTGCACCCAGCTCTTCCTTAGACTTCAATGGCAGATATTAAAATTTACAAACTGTGGTTCAAAGGAATGCATTATTAGCAATTTCTCATTGTTTAGTTTCTTAGATTGGCTAAGTTACGCTGAAAAAAGTGAGGAGGAAGCTGGAGAAAAGGGGGAAGAGCATATAAACTAATAATGATAAACGTTTAACTATAGGGGTAGGGGGGAAATCTAAAAAATTAGGGCCCTGAAGTGCATGAAATTGATGAGGGAGTGGGACAAAAAAACATCATGAACTGGGCATGGTGACTTACGTCTGTAATCCCAGCACTATGGAGACGGAGGTAGGAGGATTGATTGAGGCCAGGAGTTTGAGGCCAGCCTGGGCAACATAGCCAGACTCTCCTTAAAAAAAAAAAAAATCATGAAGTCTAATTTCTCAATCTTGTCTCAGAAGTTCTACTACCATAAAGGTTTATAGAAGTGAAGTCAAAGTTACTTAGTTCATTTTTAATATGCTAATGACCTTGCATTGTGCATGGGTTTGTTTAGAATTCTAACATTCGTGATATCCTCATTGAAATTAGTCTGTACCAAGTTGATACACGTATTGAGCACTGGTTGACCCTATTTAGATACAGTGGGTTCTCCCTGAAGAGCCATTATTTTATTTTATTTTATTTTTGCGTAGAAGACTCACTCTGTTGCCCAGGCTGGAGGGCAGCAACATGCTCAGGGTCACTGCAGCCTCCACCTCCTGGGCTCTGGCGATCCTTTTGTCAGGCTTCCAAGTAGCTGGAACTACAGGCATTCACCACCACATCCAGCTACTTTATCTTGATTTATTGTAGAGATGAGGTCTGGCCAAGTTCCCTAGGCTGGTCTCAACCCTGTGGGCTCAGGCAATCCTCTCGCCTTAGCCTCCCAAAGTGCTGGGATTATAGGTGTGAGCCACCATGCCCAGCCAAGAGTCATTATTGATGCTCCAAAGCCCTTGTTAGCATTCTATCAATGTTGAGAAAGGTACGTAAGAAGACAGAAGACTGGGAAAAACAAAAGAATCACATGTGAAAAACCAGTCAGAATAAGTACACCGAATGGAGTGGAAAAGGTAATCATTTTAGATGAGGTTGAGAACTACCAAGGAAAAAGTTGTCTCCTCTGAAATAGAAAAGATGGTTGCTAAACATGAGAATTACAATAGAGGACTTCAGGCAGTTTGAAGAATGAAGTTTCAAGAAAGGCAACATTTAGAGAAGTAATTCTCAAACTGTTTGGTATAGGACCTCTTTATGCTCTTAAAAATTGAGGACCCCAAAGAACTTTTGCATTATTGATACTGACATTTATTACGTTGGAAACTAAAACTGAAATTATTTATGTTTGAGAGATGGGGTTCTCACTGTGGTGCCCAGGCTGGTCTGGGACACCTGCCTCAGCTTCCCAAAGTGCTGGTATTATAAGAATGAGCCATAGCACCAAGCCTACAACTGAGATTTTTTTTGAGTTGGGGTCTCACTCTGGCCCCCTGGATGGAGTGCAGTGGCACGATCACAGTTCACTGCAGCCTCGACCTCCTGGGCTCAGGCGATCCTTCCATCTCAGTCTCCCAAGCAGTTGGGACCATAGGCGTGAGCTCTCATGTTTGGCTAATTTTTTAACTTTTTTTGTGGAGATGAGGTCTCACTATGTTGCCCAGCCTGGTCTTGAACTCCTCGGCTCAGCAATTCTTTAGCTTTGGCTCCCAACCTGCTGGAATTACAGGTATGAGCCACCACACTGGTCTAGAAATTTTAAAAGTAGTTATTTACTATTTCATTTAAAAACAATAATAAAGTAATGAAGCCGGGCTCGGTGGCTCAGCCTGTAATCCCGCGCCTTTGGGAGGCTGAGGT